GTGGCGAGAGCTCTAGACTCCTTGGATGAGTTATCAGATCTCATAAATGGAATGAAACCTGGCCAGAGTGAGGTCTTTGATTCAGCACAGCAATCGGCACAACTCAGAATGTTTCAGAGATTGGCATTTAGTAATCAAGACTACAGCTCTAGTTTCTTTAATCAAACCCAGAGTAGTTGGGGAAGTCAAGAACGTGTGAGTCAAGGTAGCTAAAGGAGTTGAGAATATGTTAGCTGGAGAAACTGGAGCCAAGAGCATAGGGAGATACTTTAATGCCATGGATGCATCTCGGTTGTGCAAATTCAGACTTGGTTCTGTGCATGCTCAGACTTGGAGGCACATTGGTCGGAAGGGAGATAGCAATTCACCTTTGATTCTGGAATGAGCTTCAACACGTGGAGAGGATGGAATCAGGTCTTGACGCTCATTTCATTTTCATGTATAATGTGCATTTTATTTTATTTTTTAGCTTCTTGCCTTAGCTTATATGATTATAAAGAATAAAGAATAAAGAATTAAAAAAAAAAAAAAACAAATACATGATTTTCCCCATAAATTTTTAGCATCTGTTCGTGTTGATTTAACAAATAAGTTTCTCAACATTATTAGACAAGGTGTTAAGTCACGGAAATATGTCCCCTAGGGTAGAATAATCATTTACATGATTCAATTATAGAATATATGAAACATAATAAAGCATACAATACCAACAAGAGCTTGAATTGGAGTCAAGATTAAGGGTTGAATTATTTGTATTGCTAAGCAACTAAATTCAGAATTTACCAAGAAAAAAAAGCATAGACTAAATAGGAAGAAAAATAAAAAGAGATCAAATATAAAAAATATCAAAAAAGAAGAGAAGGAAACATCCACTTTTTGTGTTCAAACACACAAACAACCAGACAACTAATTTGATTTGATAATACTTTAATTATTTTTAATTTTTTAAATAATTAGTTATAATATATATAAAGAGATTAGTGTATATCAATCTCAATTTTTTTAAAAAAAAATTAGATTATTAACTTATATTTAGAAATTGAAATTCTAATTTCAAATTAAAAAATCTAATTAATTTCTAAAAGGAGACATCCATTTTTTGCACCCAGACAACTAAATCGTTATATTTAAACTTCAACAAATAGTCACATCCAATATTTGCTTGCAACAAATAGAAGTGCTAGACACTAGTCCAAACACATCCCAAATAGAAACAGCATACTCAAAATTAAGTGAAAGGAAAGAACTGCAAATGAGACGTCTCATTAATATCATGATAAGAAGAGAACAATACCAGGCTCAGCTCTTTAGAGATCTGTATGTAGAATATTCCCGGAATAAACAATACCAGTCCCAGTGCCTTATGTAGTTGCAATCTGACTCTGTGCATTGAATGGCTAGCCCATCCCTACAAGGCTTATCGCACTTGTTGCATTTAGGAGGATTAAAATCTATCTTCACAAAAGTGACAAGATGTTGAGGATGATGACCAGCATACCTGCCTGGTTTACCGAGCCTGACATATGGAGAGTTCCGCAGCAAACAACTTGGATGAGCCGAAACATCACAATTAGCACAATGATAAAACCAATGTCTCGGGTCTCTGTCTTCTTCGCATATGTCACAATAACATTGGCTCCGATGATGATCATCACGGAAAGTAAGCATGAGAGGATGGTTATGATATTTATAACGGGCTGTGTCAGGCAGCACAAGGCACCTGTAATCTATGGCAAATTTGCATTTCTTGTCCTTGCATCGAAAACCACCCATAAGTTTAGAACCACAACCACAACAGCTCCCCTTGTATTTGTGGTCAAAGAAAAGGGGGTGCTCATGTCTTTCAACAGTACAAGTGTCCAGAATTTCATAACACCGAATGCACATTGTCATGTTAAATTCATCACATTTGTAGCCAAACCCACTATTCCAAAACCCGCAATAGTCACATTCAAAAATGATATAGAAAAAGAGTTCCATTGAATGTTTCCTGGCCCAGTGACGTACCTTCTTCAATAACTTAGCACAGCCCTCGTGGATAAAGAAATCACAGTCCTCACAATAGTAAAATGAAGTAGCGATGGGACGCATGCAGCCGTCGCAACTTTGGCCATCCTTAAACCCACGATCATTGAATATTAAGTTGTGTTCGTGGGCAAAATGTTCTATCTCTCCAGGTTTGATTTCTGTAAAAGCACAAGAAACATCACCAGTTGAGTCATCTGATGTTGATAGTTTAGACTCTTCTTCTTCTTCTTCTTCCAAAAGATCTTCATCAATTGCGCAATTTACATGAGCAAAATAGTTGCACTTTGAACAACAGT